GACAACAGAATACTACTCAGCAATGAAAAGTAACAAATTATTGATGCATACACAATGTGGATGAATCCCAACACATTACGGTAAGTGAAAGAAGCCAGATGCAAAAAACAACACATCGTGTGATTCCATTTATATGAAATGTCCAGAACAAGCACATCCATAAAGACAGAAAGCAGATCGGTAGCTGCCAGGGGCTGGGGCTGGGGATTAACCCAGAGGGGCAGAAGGAATCTTCCTGGGGTGAGAGAGATGTTCTAAACCTGGATGGTGGTGATGGTTGCCCAACTCAGTAAATTTACTAAAAAATCATTGAATTGCACATCTACAATAGGCAAATTATAGTACATAAATTATACCTCAATAAAGTTGTTAAAAAAGGGACAATGGAGGCCGGGCACGTGGCTCATGTCTGTAATCCCAGCACTCTAGGAGGCCAAGGCGGGAGGATCACTTGAGGTCAGGAGTTCAAGACCAGCCTGAGCTAGAGTGAGACCCCGTCTCTACAAAAATAGAAAATTAGCCAGACACAGTGGCACATGCCTGTAGTCCCAGCTACTTGGGAGGCTGAACCAGGAGGATTGCTTGAGCCCAGAAGTTTGAGGTTGCTGTGAGCTAGGTTGACACCACTGCACTCCAGCCCGGCAACAGAGTGACACTCTGTCTCCAAACAAAAAGAGTCGATAGATGCAAATAAATGTTTACAGCAAAATGTTGATATGTATATTATATATAAAATGATGTACATTCTTAGATTACAGTGATAAAATATCCTTAACATCTTTATTGAGATGTTATTCACAACCATAAAATTTACCCATTTAATATACAATTATACAATTCAATGGTTTTTTAGTATGTTCACAGAGTTGTACAACCATCACCTCTGTCTAGTTCCAGAACACTTTCTTCAGCCCAAAAGGAGACCCCGTCCCCATCAGCAGTCACTCCCCGCCCCCTCCCCCAGCCCCTGGCAGCCACTATCTGCCCCGTCTCCGTGGGTCTCCTGCTCTGTGTACTCCATAACAATGGAGTCACACACGGTGTGGCCTTTGGCGACTGCTGCTTCTATTTGATATCATTCCCAGAGCTCCGGCCTCTTCACTTGCTGGCTGTTCTGTAGACTCTCCAACCTCTTTCCCCTCTCCGGGCTTTTGCACTTGCTTCTCCCTGTGCCTGGGAGGCTCTTTCCTCTTCATGCCTTTTGTGTGTCGGCTGAACGCCCTGCTCAGAGAAATGCCTTCCCCAATAGCCCTAAGTGATCACCTTTTTTCTCATTACACTCATCACAACTTGTGACTACATTTTTGTCCCCCTCTCTTCCCCAAATACATGAGTCTGACTTGGGCAGTCACTCAAGCCACTCGCCTTGGGTGCAAAATTTAAGAAGGTGCTAAATTACTGTGGGTTATTTTTCCCCTTGGCCTCGGACTGCAATATGCTTGGCACAGAACTGCACTGACGCTGTCTGTCTTTATTTAAGACAAGCTGATACTGTATTCTTGTTGCATTTTTTTTGCATTCCAGCTGTCCCTCAGTATCCTTGGGGGATCCGTTCCAGGACCTCCCTTGGATTCCAAAATTCATGCATGCTCTAGCCCCTGCTATAAACTGGTGTGTTACTTGTATGTAACTTATACATATGTTCCCATATATTTTAAATCATGTCTAGATGATTTATAATACCCAATACAAGGAAAACGCTATGTAAATAGTTGATATACTGTATTGTTTAGGGAACAATGACAAGGAAAAAAAGTCTACAAGTTCAGTACAGACGAAACCATCCTTTTTTTCCCCAAATATTTCCGATGTACAGTTGGTTGAATCCTCAGATGTGAAACCCATATACATGGGGGGCCAACTATACTTTTGATTTTTCAAAACATTGTATTAAACTATTATTTCTCCCATGCCTGGCGAGGTGGCACACGCCTGTAGTCCCAGGTACTCGGGAGGCTGAGGCAGGAGGATCGCTTGCGCCCAGGGGTTTGAGATCAGCCTGGGCAACATAGTGAGACTCTGTCTCTAAAAAATAATGATAAAAAAAATAACAAATAAAAGGAATTATTTATCTTGGTGACTGAGAAGAGATGAATAATTTTCTATCCTACTCTCTCTTCAGTACCTAGAACAGGGCTTTGTACACAGTAGGCACTCAATAATTGATTAAATAAATAAACCACATCTACTGAGGAATGGTGCAGAAATGAAAAGCCTTGCTAAAGGTCTGAGGTAGACAAATTGCAAAAAAGGACCATAATTCTTTACCCTCCCTAATCCATACCCTTGGTGATGTGACCTTATAGCTCCTTCCATCAAAAGATGAAGCCTATTTCCCTACTGATTTACTCTGGACTGTTCTTGTGACTTCCTTTGGCCAATAGAATGTGACAGGGTGCCAGTTCCAAGTCTGAGCCTTAAGAGATCTTGTGAACTTCTACTTGTTTTCTGGAAACCCTGCCTTTGCCAGGGCTAGGCTGCTGAAAGATGAGAGAACATGTAGAGCAGAATTGAGGTGACTCAGTTGAAAACATTCTGATTCAGCCACCTCCCAGGGCATGCACTATAGATGCATGAGCAGAAGAACTGCCTGGCTGAGCCCAGCCTGAATTGCCAATTCTCAGAAGGCGAGCTAAAGAAACAGCTTGTTTGAAGCCACTGTGCTTTGGGGTGGTTTGTTATGCAGCTCTAGCTAATCGATGCAGGAACAAAGGCCAGGGTTTCGATACAGAGAAACAGATCTATGGGGAAGGGGCTCTGGGGACTGCCTGTTCCCTATGAACACCAGGAATAAGCTGATCACAAACCCCACTTCCCCAGACTCACCTGTGTGTCCTGTTAGAATGTGTATCACCTGCTGCTCTTCCATGTCCCATACAGCCACCATGCCATCCTGGGTGCCAATCACCAGCAGCATCTCCTCCACGCCCCACGCCATGGCAGTGATGCCTGCAGCCATGCAGAGACAACAGCAATGATCTCAGATCCCTGTCCAAGTGCTCAGCCACGGGCTTCTCTAATAAGCCCCGACATCACAGATAAGAAAACGGAGGCACGGGCCGGGCACGGTGGCTCACGCCTGTAATCCTAGCACTCTGGGAGGCTGAGGCAGGTGGATTGTTTGAGCTCAGGAGTTTGAGACCAGCCTGAGCAAGAGCAAGACCCTGTCTCCACTAAAAAATAGAAATAAATTAGCTGGACAACTAAAAATATATATATACATACAAAAATTAGCCGGGCATGATGGTGCATGCCTGTAGTCCCAGCTACTTGGGAGGCTGAGGCAAGAGGACCGCTTGACCCCAGGAGTTTGAGGTTGCTGTGAGGTAGGTTGATGCCATGGCACTCTAGCCTGGGCAACAGAGCGAGACTCTGTCTCAAAAAGAAAAAAAAGAAGAAAATGGAGGCATGGACAGATTCAGTCCCTTGCTCAAAGCCACACAGCTAGGATTTCAAAACCTGGGCTGCCTGTGGTATTTATGCTGCTCTCAGGCAGGAAAAAGGACTGAACCGCAGCTCAGCCATAATTGTCTGTCTAGTCTAGCAGTTCTCACCCAGGGGTGATTCTGTCCCCCAGGGGACACACGTTGGTGTCTGTGGACATTTTGGGGTGCCACGACTGGGGACAAGGGTGCCACTGGCATCTGGTGGGTGGAGGTCAAGGATGCTGCTCAACACCCTGCAATGCACAGGACACCCTCACCAAAGAGAATGATCTGGCCCCAGATGTCAACAGTGCTGTGGTTGAGAAACCCTGCCCTAGCTGGATACAACCCAAAAGTAGAAATATAGGCCAGGCACAGTGGCTCATGCCTGTAATCCTGGCACTTTGGGAGGCCAAGGTGGGAGGATCGCTTGAGCACAGGAGTTCGAGAAAAGCATTGTATGTAGCATCTCTCAGAATTTCCATTTTGGAACTAATGTGCCTAGGGAGTGCAGCTTTGGCTGCTAGGTCATGTGGTACAGAAAGAGCCTGCATGGTAATGAGTCTGACATGTGAGCCCCAAGCTAATTCTATTCAGTGGTCCCACAATTAACGTGAGAGACTGTGGGTGGGCAGTTAAGGGCCAAGTGAATGGAGGTGGATGAACGGATAAGTGGAGAGACAGGTGGCTGGCAGGATGAGTGGGTAGGTGGGTAGATGGATGAATCACTTTCTAGATGGCAGGCAAGTTGATGAATGGCTGAGTGCATGGATGGGTGGAGGGGTAAGTGAGCGGATAGAAGATGGCTGGATGAGGAAAATGGAAGGGCAAGTGGGCGGAAGGGTAGATATATGAGAGCATATATGAGCAGAAAGATGAATAGAAGCATAGATAACTGATGGGTGGATAGATGGAAGGAAAGAAAGAAGGAGGGAAGGGTTAAGGGGTGAATGGAAGGGTGGGAGGGTGGGAGGATGGGAGGAGGGGAGGGTGGGTGGCTGAGTGGATGGATGGACGGATGGATGGATGGAAGGAAGGGTGGGTATTTGGACGGATGGATGAATGGATGGGGTGAATGAAAGAAAAAATGGATAACAAATGGATGGCAAAAGCAAAAACTAAATCTTCTTCTCTCCCTGACATCCCGGGGCCCCAGGGGCAGTCTACAGTCCATCAGCCCCTCAGGGGCCAGCCAGGCGTCAAGTGCTGCCTTCCAGACTTTCGGTTGCAGGGACTACCTGCAAGGTGGGTGCTAAGCTCTTGGCGAGGGTAAGGTAGGAGGCATCCTCCAGCCGCAGGCTCATTAGCAGTATTTACACCAGTCATCTAAAGTCCCTGGGCGCAGAGAGGGCCGATTCAGCATGAGACAGCAGGGGCAGGCCCTGATGGCACCCTTGGGGCCTTCCCGCTGGCAGAGGGGAGCCCCAGAGAGCAGCCCCCAAACCCCTGCCAGCCACTGCCTCCAGGCAAGCAGGGCCCTGGCGGGACTTTTGCTGTGCTGGGGAGACTCACCTTTGTGACAGCCAGTGAGGGTCGCCCGGAGGGGTCCTCCCGGGGGCTGGAGGAATCCTCCAAGGGGCACCAGCACAGGGTGTGGGCACACCCGGAACCAGCTCTGGGCCTGCTGGCACAGCGGCCCCACCAGTGCTTTATGCGAGGTGGCGAAGAAAGAGAGTCTGGCCAGGAGTTCCGTGTACAGGAGGCTCCGCTCTGCAACAAGGGGACGTCGGTTAAGTCGCCTGGGTTGAGTCCCCACCCCCTGCAGGGGCTTCCAGACAGAAGAGAAGACCCAGCACCGTGGGTGCTGGCCCCTGCCATCCTCTCCTGCCTCCTTCTCTGCCATTCAGACACCCTCACCCCTACTTCAAGCACCCAGCGGTCTCCAGCCTCAGGGCCTTTGCACATGCGGTTCCTTCTACCTGGAACACTTTCCCATCTTTCCCCTTTCTCATACCAACTGTTGACTAAGGAGGGGAGGAAATCAAGCTTTTAAAGAATTCAAGTTAGTTTTACTCAGAAGTCTTACTGAGGACTATAAACTGAGACCTATGGCCCAGAATCTGCCATTTAGACGGGTTCGATCCCACTGCCCTGGGACAGCATTTCAACCCACTGCTTGTAGACAGTAGGTGGCAGAGGTTTAGGACGGCAAAATCACATCAGACACGCTCAGAAGTCACCATCCAGCAGCAGCCCATCCAGGTTTGGATATAAGAGCACACCTGATCTTAGATCACAGAAGCAAATTCATTAACCCCGTCAGACGTTATTTTATGTGCAGAAAAAACCCAAGGCCACGTTCATTTATCTTTGAGGAGCAAAGTGACTCAGGCAGGAGACGTGGGGGCCCCATGCTCTATCCTGTTTTGTCCTCAAAGCAGTTAGTTTTTCAAAGAGCTGCGCGTTGTCACACAGTCAGGAACTTCGTGAAATTATGCTGGCAAGCGGCCACGAGCACGCATGGCCTCCGACATTTGCTACTTTGTGTCACACAACCAACCCCTCGTCCTCTGCTCAGCCCGGAGGTCGCTTCTGCAGAAAGCACTCTCCAGCCTCAACCTCCGATCCCCACCCCACTCCCGGCTCAGGCTGTATCACAGTTGCAATTTCACATTTTTTGTGTGTATTTTTACATTTCACTTCATTTCATGTTGTTTTATTTCCTTTCAATTTTGGAGACAGACTCTTGCTCTGATGCCCAGGCTGGAATGCAATGGCACGATCACAGCTCACTGCAGCCTCGAATTCCTGGGCTCAAGCGATCCTCCCACCTTGGCCTCCCAAGCAGCTGGGACTACAGGTGTGTGTCACCACCACACCACGCCCGGTTAATAAGGTCTTTAATTTAATCACATCTTTTGCCATGCAAGGTAATGACCACAGGTTGCAGGAATGGGGAAGTAATACGGTCAGCCCTCCGTATCTGTGAGGTCTGCATCCGTGGATTCAACCAACCATGGACCAAAATAATTTTTTTTTTAATTTGAATATTGACAATGAAACGTTAAAGAATTTTTTAAAATGCAAAAAAAATTGCACTTGTACTGAACATGGACAGACTTTTGTCATGATTCCCTAAACAATATGGTATCACAACTACATACATAGTGTTTACATTGTATTAAGTATTTTAAATAATCTAGAGAGATTTAAAGTGCACAGGAGGATGCATGTAGGTTACATGCAAATACTACATTATTTATATCAGAGACTTGAGTGTCCACGGATTTTAGTATCCACAGGAGACCTAGAACTAATCCCCCATGGATACCAAGGTAGGACTATTTACCTTTTAGGGGAGCAGTTTTTCTGCCTACTACACAGAGATATTGCAATTATTATTTCAAGTTTATAAAGGGGAAAATCAAGGCAGAGAGAGGTTAAGCAACTTGCACAAGTTCACACAGCCAGTAAGAAGAGGGACTCTGGTCCAAAATTATTCCTGCCGGGCGGGGTGGCTCATGCCTGTAATCCTAGCACTCTGGGAGGCCAAGGCAGGAGGATTGCTTGAGCTCAGGAGTTTGAGACCAGCCTGAGCAGGAGTGAGACCCTATCTCCGTAAAAACAGAAAATCAGCTGGACACAGTGAACAGAAAAATTAGTAGGGCCCTTTGGCAGGCACCTGTAGTCCCAGCTATTCGGGAGGCTGAGGCAGGAGGATCACTTGAGCACAGGAGTTTGAGGCTACAGTGAGCTATGATGATGCCTCTGCATGCTACCCAGGGTGACAGAGTAAGATCCCATCTCAAAAAAAAAAAGTTTGATTCCAACACTGAGTAATGAAGACCAGAGATGTTGGAGGTAGCTTGCTTACTCTAACCCTGATGTTGGCACGTCCTAACTGTGGAGCCTGGGGCAATGGCAGAACGCCCTTGGCCTTGGCTTGCTGGTGGGTGAAACGTGGAAGAACTGGAACCAGGGCCAAATGTTCCACTTGCCACAGGTACCAAAGGTGGCACCAAAAGACTCAACCATCAAAATAAATACTATTTTAACACAATATTTTTTAAAAACTCGATAATTAATGTCCCCCAAATCCATGATGAACCAAATACCAACCTTTCAATGAAAACATCATCAGAGGAGGGGGTATATGGGAAACCTCTTTACCTTCCACTCAATTTTGCTGTGAACTTAAAACTGCTCTAAAATATAAAAGCTATTATATTTAAGCCAGGCGCAGTGGCACCTGTAGTCGCAGCTACTGGGGAGGCTGAGGCAGGAGGATCACTTGAGCCCAGGAGTTGGAGGCTGCAGTGAGCTATGATGGTGCCACTGCACTCCAGCCTGGGCAACATACCAAGACCCCATACTTAAAAATAATTTTTTAAAAAGTCTATTTAAAAAAAACACACAGATCAGAAATAGCACCATATCTAGTTACATTGGAGCCTGAGGCAAAAGGGGTCATCAGGAATACTGACTGTGTCGGCTCACTTAGGATGCTGGATGTCCCCCTTTTCTGAGCTCACTGAATGAACTCGGACGGACTGAGGGCGCATGGTCATCGCGCAGCGCCCTCTGGTGGTGACATTTGTTCCTACACCTCCTCCTTGCGCTGGGGCAGCCACAGGTTGTCAATCACGGGGTTTTGCAAAGAACGTGCTGAGATTTGGGCTTTCAAATCCTCCCTTAAACTGCGCAGTCGTGCCCAAGGCCATTTTCCTGGGAAGTCAGAGCTGGTGCAAACCTTAACTGTCCTTGGGCCTCCGTGGGAGCCAACACCATGGCTGGGGAACAGCAGGTATTCAGCAGGGGTCACATGAATGCATAAGAAAGACATAAGTGACGGAAGCATCTTCCAAGTGGGGGAGATCGTAGACACATTTTAGTTGAATCCCACATTTTGCAGATTACAAAAATGGGGGTTCAGTGCAGAAATAGCTCATCCAAGGCCATTCACACCAACAATATTGATGCTGTCACGAGACAGTAACAGGACCCTTGATGGCACCACGGGGACAGGCTCTGCATGACTTGACTCACATATCCTTCCCAACAGCCCTAGCTGGGATAGTCGCATCCCCATTTTGCAGATGGGAAAACTGAGGACTGAGGGACAAAGGAAGGGATAGTAAGGGTCTGGCAAGGCCATGGTGCCTGTAAGTGACAGAGCCAAGATTTGAATCACACAGTGGGGCTCAAAACCTGTGTTCATGGCTGGGCGTGGTGGCTCACCCCTGTAATCCTGGAACTTTGGGAGGCAGAAGTGGGAGGATCACTTGAGCTCAGGAGTTCAAGACCAGCCTGAGAAAGAGCAAGACCCCATCTCTTCTAAAAATAGAGAAATTAGCTAGGCGTGGTGGTGTGTGCCTGTAGTCCCAGCTACTCGGGAGGCTGAGGCAGGAGGATTGCTTGAGCCCAGGAGTTTGAGGCTGCAGTGAGCTACGATGATGCCACTGCACTCTACCCAGGGCAACAGAGTGAGACCCTGTCTCAAAAATAAAAGTTCCTAAAGCCTTGTGTTTGCAATAGACCGAATAGCAAGAAACATCAACTTTCAACCCTAAATTCTGCTGTTATTATTATTATACCTTGAATTTCATCAATATGAATTTGTAGGAACTTTATTTTCTCTCGTTACATGAGTACCTACACGATTTCCTCAATTCTGCTTGAGATTTTTCCTGTCTGACCCTTTCTAGAGAAAGGGTGAGGGGAGGGGCGCTGCTCTTCCAGGTTCAGTTCAAAATTCTAGAAGTGCTAGAAGAAAACCTACAGGTTTCACTGGGAAAGGTGTGAGGTTTAATGAAAATACAGCTGGCAGCTCAGGGAGGAGAGTGGGTTCCTAGAGGTCAGAGCAGAGCAGCTCCCTACCCCCTGCCCCCGGCCAGGCTGCGCAGACTCACCCATGCCTCGGAGCTCCACGGCCGGGCGGCAGAGCTGGAGGGCTTCATGGACCAGGCTGACCTCAGGACAGTCCAGGTAAGGGGCACACAGGTTGAAATCGTCCAGCAGGTCCTCAATGTCCCCGGAGATGCCCCGGCAAGTAATCCAGCTCATGCTGCCTGCGGACGAAAAAGGGGGAGGATGTGGGAAGGACACACCCGCCTCCAGTTTATCCTGGGGGCAGAGAATCACCTCCCCAACTCAACCAGGCTCAAGCTCAGCAGCACTGACGTGGGGGCTGGATGATTCTCTGGGATGTGTGTGTGCGGGGGCCGAACTGTGCATCGTGGGAAGTAGAGCAGCAAGGCTGGCCTCCACCCACAAGAAGCCAGTAGCACCGCTACCCCCAAGGGTGACGGTCAAACATGTCTGCAGACATTGCCATGTGTCCCTGGGTGGCAAACTCTCCCTTGGTTGAGAATCACAGGGATGGATTAGTGGGTGGATGGATGGATGGATGGGAAGATGGATGGATGGATGGATGGATAGATAGGAAGATGGGTGGATGGATGGGAAGATGGATGGATGGATAGATAGGAAGATGGGTGGATGGATGGGAAGATGGATGGATGGATAGATAGGAAGATGGGTGGATGGATGGATAGATGGACAAATAGGAAGACAGATGGATGGATGGATGGATGGATGGATAGGAAGATAGATGGATGGATGGATGGATGGATGGATAGGAAGATGGATGGATGGATGGAT